TTTTTTATATTAATTATAGTATAAAAAATATATTTATATATAATTTATATTTTCCTAATTTTGTTTTACACTTTATTTTAATTTTTTTACACTTTGTAAAAAAAATAAAAATAAAATAAAACTTTTTTTTTCTTGTCAGTTTATCAAGCAATCACTATGACAGCTTGATAAATTAACTTTTTTATTTTATTTTTGGCTATTAGGCTGATCCAAACTTAGGAACAGCTAATAATAACCTTAGAGACTGATCCTGACTTTAGTCAGATTCAGATCTCACTAAAAGCTCTTTGATCGTGCCTAGACGATCAGAAATGATACATTTCACTCAAAAGATAAATTTTATCCTTTCAGTGAAATGTATCCAAAACATCGAGCTCTCAAGCTGTCAAAACAAATAGCAGAGAGGTGAGGTGAGTCACTGCTGCCTCTCTGCTATTTTGAGCTGTCAAATACGGGATCGCAAATTGCGGTCCTCTATTTGCATGTAACGGCTTCATTCTTTCATTAATGAAAGGAAGAAGCTTTTACAAAAAGCTTAATTATTTCATTAATTAATGCCTCAATACTGAGACATTAATGAATGACTTAAATGCTGAGAATCAGCAAATACCGGCATTACAAAGCCTGATATAACTCGTCACGTACAGTGTACGTGGCCAGTCATATAGGCACAAAGTGACAAGACGTACACTGTACGTCTCCCGTCACGAAGGGGTTAAAGATGGGACTGAGTCGGCTGTGACTGGAATATGCAAGCATGGTTCTCAAAAAGTCTAGCCATGAGCAAATTGACTCTTGACTTTCTGAATGTGATGAAACTGTTCAGGAGTTTGGGGAAGCCTAAACATAGCATTAAAACCCTTGGCCTTCTCCTCTGCATGGGAAACTGGAATTAAAACATGCTGATCTACAAGTTCCCATATCAGAAACATGTGCTCTTAAAAAGGAACTGTTAGAGGTTGCGTGTTTAAAAAGTCTTGCTGGGGACACCTCTGAGAACTGCAATTGGTACCTTTGTCTCCAGATTCAGAATGAATTTGTTGGAGCTGATCTGTTGCTAAAGTGGAAGGAAAGCCCCCAATCTCCCTCCTAACGGCAAAGGACAGTCACTGGTTTCTAGGGGGCTGGATCAGGAGTGCTGAAAAGAAATCCACCTTTTCATTAGCCTTCAGAGCCACCTACATTTTTCTTGGGTGATCATTCCTTAGATCCAAAGTTTGTTCCTTCCATTTGGTTCCAAATAAATATCTTTTCAGAACAATTCTTTTTTTCTTCAAACAGGAAGACGTTCTTGTCAACTACGTGGTCTAAGATGTATCAAATTCATGTCTAAAAAGAAGTTCCCCTTAGAAAGCCCCTCCCACATAGACTTGCATTGGAGGCCTGAGTCTCATGGCCATGTTTTAAATCAAAGAGCTTGCCTTACAGAATTAGGTAAGGCAGATCAGACCAACTGGGCTGTAGTGTCCACAATATTACACACAGCCTTAAAAATACAAAAAGGTGGCAAGAATCTGTTATTTTTGTTTAGCCAGCTTCAAGATTAGAAAAGGCAAAAGGTTCAGCTTTTTCTTGCAGGATATCCAAAAGCAGTATATGGACAGATTCACACCAGCAGGGCTCAAAATTTCCACTTGCCCCCTCGCAAATTGCGAGTGAAAATTGTGTGGGGGGCGATTGGAAACGAAGCTATTGAGTCTGACACGGTCATGGAGGCAGCTGCTCGTCCAGCCATAGATCGGATCTGCAGCTCCTCCTCCATCCTGGCTGCTTGCACATGCTCAGTGCAAGTTCTCTTTCCCAGAGAGTGTCAGCGTCAGTGTTCCCTGGGCAACCCGGCCGGCTGTGGCTCTGAAACCCGATCTTTCTGCTGTAACTAAGTAAACTCTGCAGAAGTTAGAGCAGTGATTAACCCCTACTGTGCCACAGGATCTATACAGTTTGGACACACAAATGTAATGATTAATATGAGCAAATGTGTTTGTGTAATGCCCTGCGTGTTGTGCTGCATGTATGCCCTGCGCGTATGCCCTGCATGTAGTGATGCGCGTATGCCCGGTATTGGTCCAGCAAAAGAATGATTAGTTCCCAGGTACCAGGGACAATGCGCGCATATACGCAGCGTATTGTAAGGCAGTGTGAATGAGGCCTAACAGTGGTAAGGCTGGACAATTCCCAGTCACAACGGTGAGTAAAAAACTCTGATGACCAGGTAATTGAAAGCTATAGCTGGTGGGGAAGGGAGACAGACCTGCAGTGCCCATCACATATCTGTAGACGAGGGCTAGTTCACACCATAACTGCATCAGAACTGCGTGTGTGAACAGCGCACCAGAAATTGGAAAGCATTGTGACACGATTTTGATGCAGCTGCCAAACTGAATGGACTGCATCACAACTGCATCTGGTGTGAACTAGCCCTAAAGGGGGCTGATTGCATGCATTTGCACACTGGAAAATTAGCGCCACAGTGGTGACCTCCTCCCTGTGTCAGCTTGGTAGTTACCGATCTGGTGTAAGGTTTGCTGTTCCTGCCCTACCCAGCTATGTGCGTGTGCTGCGAGGTTGGGAGTTACTGGCTAGTTCTGTGAAGAGCAGGTGAAACTAACAACTTGGAACATTGGGGTAATGAGCAGACCGCTTCATGAGCATGTCAGAGAGCAGAAATATCCAACACGGAGGATAAAACCCTGCTAGCAGCAGGTGAGCCTTGTGCCTGGATGCAGAGTCAGCTGACAGGGCCCATCATTGTCACCCCCTGGTCTCTCTAAGGCTGGGTTCACACCTAGGCGTATTGAATATGCGCGGTTTTTGCGCGATTCGCGGGAAAAAAACACGCGTTTCCGAGGGCTACTTGGCTGTATCCCAATGGAAACGCCCGACCAAAACGCCCCAAAGAAGTACATGTACTTCTTTGGGTGTAGGGCGGTTTCCCGCACGTTCGTACTCGCGGAAAAACGCCCAGATGGGAACCATGCACATTGAAAATAATGGCATTTCCCTGTTTGAGCGTTTTTTCCACGAGTACGAACGCGCGGAAAAACGCCCAGGTGGGAACCGGGCCTAAAGGCAGGGGAATCTTGTGAAAATTGATGGCAAGAT